TACTTAGAGTGAAAGCATTCTGATGCATGTTGTAAAAAATAATCATTAATGATTCAGTATTTTTCACTCATTTTTTACTAAATCAATCCTGCAACTTGCCACTGAGAACCATATACATTCCCTGTTTATCAGTCGTGTCTTATTCTGGATTACTCTATGATGAAAGAATCAAAAGCATGTCTATACACATGCTTTGCTTATTTTCTCTGGATCTTCCCAGACTTTAATTTCATATCCCTCCAAATTTCTCTAACAAAAGGATTTCAATTTATTTATTCCATGACAAAGATATTTTATAAGGTAACTTGTAATTTTACAGGCCCAACATACTTTCCTACTCTAAATTCAGCTGCGTCAGGTAGCAACAACATATACATCAATAACAAAAGGCAAGACAAACGCAGGAGACTCGAAAGCTTAATAACACTAGAAAATGAAAATGCAAGTCTTTCAATCTACAACTGATGTCTGTTTTGTCATTATTTATGTCCACATCAATCACATTTTAACAATAGGAATATTTCATATTAATATCATGGTCTTATAAAGAAACTGGAGAATGAAATTCCTCTATAATGATTGAGGTACAATATTGAGGAAAATATTAAACCAAATATCCTCAACGCTTAATAGCTGTACAGTTGACATGCTAGCTCTCAGTTGCCGTACTAAAAGTATGCATTTTTTTAAAGAAAGAACGTCTGAAATAATAGTAAATTCTCCTCTCTGTAGGGAAGACAGACCCAAAAAGGACTGTACTGATAAATTGGTCAAAGATGCCAATCTCCACAATGCACTAAACTTCTGTAACTACAACAGAAGGGAAGAAAATGCAATATAGAAGATCACATAAAACACTAAGCAAAAGTAGAAATAGCAGCAAAAATCATAAAAATGATGCTTACCATATTAATTATATATAGACGGGTCTTTTATCAGAGTCACAATGCTGCTGTCTGATAAAGCAAGCAGAATATCTGCAGAGATCATGATCCACATATTAATCATATACAAGAAATTTATGTGGAAGCGCTAATTTGCATATCATAATGGTTAAAAATGAATAAAAATCAACGGACTAATAGCAAAAACTCCAAAACTTAAATATGAGATATAATTTAACCAAAACTTCTATTGATGGAATCGTGGAAAACCAAGCTCTTGCAGAAGAAAACAGTACAGATATCTATTTCACAAGGTTCATATAAGTAGCATGCACAATGATTTCATAAAGATGAAATATGTTACCGATACCTGTTAAACCTAGCACAGAAATCAAATGCTGCAGAGTTGAGTTGTGAACCCCTATAGAGGAATATGCAAATGATATCTCAACAAGCAATCCCAAGATATGACCAAAGACGTTGTCTACAACTCCAACAAGCATTATTCGCTCTTTGGAACAATGGGATTTGAATGTCTGAATTCGTTTTTGCAATAATTAGACTTCATGGACTCAAAATTTCTAATCCCATTGAGTTGGTGTGAGGACAGCACATCACATTCACCGAAAATTTTCATTTTTGCCGCTATAGCATTACAAATACAGCATGATATTCTTCCCCAGTTTGTTGTTATTACAAACTAGTAGAATGATGTTAAATAGCAGAATAACATTGTCCCATTTTAAAATGAAAGCATAAAAGTTTTAGGCTCTACACTAATCAAACAAGAAATAGTTCCAAAATCAACATTCTTCAGAACAACAACTACCGTTAACATACAAATTCACAGCTATGAATATGGTTTTTTTTTTTCTCCTCTTCAATTCTCACGTCACATAAATAAGTCAATAGTTCAATTTGTTGTTTAAAACATGTAAATAAGAAAACCTTGTATGATCCTGGCAGAATTAGAAAAATCCAGTCATTAAAATCCGCCAATTTACCGATTTAATATACCAGTTTCACGTATTGAACATACTTATAACCAAAAATAAAAAACTATCCATTATTCGAAATGACGAAATCTTGAAATATCAATACATGAAAAAATGCATAAAAGAAGAGATTAATTACCAGAAGACGATCCTCTCACTTTCTCTCTCTTTACCGTAAGTTAGATCTCGTGGGTTTGCTCACTCGCTGCAATAGTGGTTAGGTTGGACGGAGCTTTTGGGTTGAAATTGGTAGACTAAGACCGCGTTTTGCTTGGTTAAAATACAGCTAAGTTTATATAAAATTATATTATTTTATAATTATGAATTATAATTCGAAGAAATTGTTACTTATAAAAGCTTTTTTAATGTCGTATCAAGAGGAAATTATTATATAGCCCCCGTTTAGTATAGATCTATATTAAATTTTAATTTAAATTAAGGTTAATAATTAATTCTAATTACATTTTTTTATCAAAATTTGTTAAAAATTAAAATTCCTTTTTATTTTATTTTTATTGATCGACAATTTGTTTAGAAAAAACTAAGCCCCTGTTTAAATTACATTAAAATTTTCATTTTCATTTTTCTATTCATTTTCAATTATACATTTTTCAATAAAATAATATTTTTCATCACATTAATAACTTTTCATTCTTTTTCAACTGCACATTCTCCATCAATCTACTATTCCAAAATACATTCTTTCAAAATAATGTGGCTCAAACACAAATATACGGCAAATATTGATTGATTATAAAGGCTTATTCCACGGAATTATTTAGTTCTCGTAGTATTAGACATTAGTCTATAGTACAGTGAAACTATTTATATATTATCGAATAACAATTTAGTTAGACCACGGCTCAACTACACATCAAATTAAGATGTCCTTTTCTTGTTCCTTTTAAATGACACTTCTCAATCTATCTAATAAACTTGAGATTGATCATTTAAAATTTCTCTAGTCATTCCAATGTATGTAAAAGATAATTGCATGCTTATAGTCGAATTTGAAGTGATAGAACTTACTTGAAATCTCGAAAATGAGGTTGAATTAGTTGTGTTTGGTTTGCTTGTTTCCACACTGTCTTGCACCCGCTCTTTGATCAAAAACTCAATCACAAAAGAGGAGTTTGATAGCCACACCCCCAAAGTACCAATTTAGAGATGTAAATCTTGCAAATCAAGTCACACCCCTTATGTGTTTCTCATCCTTTTCTTCACACACAAATTTTGCATGTATTTTTTTTTATGGTTTTCAGTGTAGTGGAACTAAAGTTGTATAGAGGTTGAGGGTGGTAGGAGGTTGAATTCTAAACTTAAAATTTAACTCCTCCCTTCAATAACCATTTCATGCAAATCGGATCGGGTCATCCCACGTGGACGACCTATTTTCTTCCAACGATATTGTTACGTGAAAATATTCAATTATTACGACAACTAAATTTTAATCCTTTAATGCCACGGGTGTTTTGATACTAGGTAGGGACATTGAGAGAGTCAAAAAGAAAATTTGTAATTTGATGATTTGATTGGTGAATTTATCTCCCGTGGAGATGACCAATCTTGCCGAATCATGTAAATATGTGTTTACTATTCTTTTGGTTGTGCTTGTGAACATGTTTATTGTTGGGAATTTACTTAACATGCACAGCGGAAATTAAACAATTTTCAATTCCCAAACGAGGATCTGCAATGTGTTTAGATAGAAACTGTGATGAGAATGATACCTTTGATGAATTCCACAAACTCTTTTGCTTTTTCTTGAACTCCAATGATCACGATCTGCAATCCAAGCTG